ATAATACCACAAGAAAATCTTCAAAACGTGTGTTCATTCTAGCTCTCAGTATTGTCATTGCGTATGTGATACTGTTTTCACCATATTTTATCTTTGGTATGTTGTTCTATTCTAATATACATATCTCAAATATGCTTTCAAAAATAAGTACCTGGATGTGGTATTCTCACAGTATAATAAACCCTATTCTGTATACTTTTATCGGCAAGAAATTGATCTGTTAAGGACTTTCCGCTGCTTGGATGCAGTTCCGTGCATACGATATTTTCAAGTTCAACCAAGATTTTCCCGCAGATCTAAGCACTTGACATTAACTACCAACATTCCTAATTTAGAATGGACCTTTCCGCTAAGCCCCGCCCCTCGTATATTGTTGCAAAGTCTCACAAAACAACAGTGTTAAAAACATACAAAAACGTGCGTTTTGTGGCGCACATATTTTTTAAACTGTTCTGATTGGTCAGTTGTTAAGTTTGATCGACACTTCGAAAATAACTCCTCTTAAGCGTGCTGTAGGTCAGGAAAAACGATGACTACGGTTGAATCCAAGCATCTTGTGTAACAAGGCAAGTCTTGGAAACTTACCGTATGAACAGCGCAGAAAAAAAAAAATGCTCAAATTTATGACAGTGTTACAAAGTTTACATCGTAGCTGCTATGGACACTTTCCTACTATGAAATTATATCATTAGAACGTATATCTTGGAAAAAATTCACCTGGTTATCTCATAGATAACATAACTATATCATTAGACCCTTAAAGCCAGGCTCCAGACGAAGAAAAATATTTGCTTCGTAGATGCCTGGAAAGTAACTCTTCTGCATTCTGAGAGACAAGATGATTAAAACTTTATTGACTAAAATTTTAAACAATTTTTCTGTGTGATAGTTATTAATTTTACTATTTTACATTTGTCAGATACACAGGTCAATAGCATAAATTAGCAGGGGAAATTAGGTGATAGTGGGAATAGTTCGAAGGCCTTACAAATAAAATGTGTGCGCTTTTTGCTTACAAATGGCAGCATAGCTAGACTGGGATTCAAGATTGTCAAGTCAGCAATCTAAGATTTGCCAAACAGGGTTTCGACTAAGTGGAGTCGGCAAACTGTCATTCATCAAGCGGGCAGTGGTTGCTCCACAAACCTGCCGACAGGTGGTACGTTTAGTCCAACAGGGGTCTGAAACCAAGGAATCAACGAGAGCATCGGTCAGGGTTTTTGCCCAACCTCGCCGTAGCATTTAAAAATCATTATTAACTTATTCAAGATTGGTAAACTATTTAGCACTCAACGCTCCATGATTGTATATTAATTTCAATGTGCTGCATGTCGTGCAGCCTATATTGGCAAGACTACTCGCCAGAAACAATGGTTATGAGCAGCTAACAAGGTTATAAAATCTAACAATCTTGAATCTGGTAAAAAATGTAATAAAGCTTGTTTTCAAATTGTCGACACAGCCAACACGTAGTTTCAACTAGCAATCAATGAAGCCCTAAACATAAAATTGGAAAATCCAGACCTAAACGAACAAGTTCGCAAGCCATCTTAAACATTATCCATCCAATTTAAATACTTGACCATAATCACATTATAAATATTACAAAGACTGCATCATACATATGTTGAATATGCTGAGAGCAGTATTTTCTGTTTATTTCTTTCTTTTGCATTGTTGAACTGATAATGGTTAATGTAATTAATTTTTTTAAGGCCCACAATGGAAATAACTTGACCTTGCGTTACTTTTTTGTGCATTTTATCCTTGGAATTTTTGTTATGTTATAAATTTCGAATAAAATAAATGAAATGTAATGTTTTAACCGAAACATGTATCCGAAATTTAAACTTTACTGTTGTATTTATCCACCACAGCATCTAGAATTCTTTATTTTGAATTGTCATTTTGGCAATCTGATTTTTGATTTACAAAAATTACGCTGTTATTACACTGTTGTTGTTGTTATATATATAATATATGTGAGGTCTCGCCATAAAATGAGTCTCATGGCTAGAAATTCAAAAATTGAGTTTATATTATATTTGGGTAGATCACATTATAATAAGCTTTCATTTGGTCTTAGAATGGCTTCCCTACTATAAGTAAATCCAGATATGTGAGCATTTAAAGTTTAAGTGTATAAGAACCACATTTTGAGAAAATCAGCCTCAAAGATAAACTAACATGTACAAATAATATGACTAGAATTACAGAATATGTGCAGAGAACACTGTTTTGGCAAGAAAATTCACTTACGAAGTAATACAATCATAAAATAAAAGTATCAAGTTATTCAAAAACATTAAAATCAAAATTTTGTAAAAATGTTGACTTTGGCCTGTTTTGGTCTATAAAACTTAACTACATTAATGACTCACAGTCATTTAGAAACCGAACACCGAATGATTCAAAATAAAAAAAATCTATTCTTTTAAGATAAAAGAAAATTTAACCTCAAGACCACCCCAAATTTTGGTGCCAAATGCGGTCTTGAATTGGAGGGCGAATTGTATATCAATCAAAATAACTTATTGGGAAGCCATCTTAAAATCCATTATGGCCACCATGTAAATTGTTATACTTTGCATTATAGTGGGGCTGATTTTTGGATCAATTTCTCCAAAAGCACCAAATTTGTTCCATAGGCCACAAGACTATTGACCCCATAAGGTCACCTAATTTGCATATCTAAAATGACGGTCCTTTTGGCATTATACTTAAGATTTTTACACACATATATATAAAGATACAGATTTTTGAATATTTACAAACTGGGGTAAAAGAGGCGCAAACTCCCCAGTTCTTCAATATTCAAAAATCTGTATCTCATTAACTTCCGAGTTTTTCTTCAAATATGCTTTTTGAGTCTTAGAAAAATCAGTTCTACAACATTATCATTTTTTCTCCCTCAGGAGCCTGGCTTTAAACTAAAGTGATTCCTTGTTGATATAAAAATAAAAAGAGTATGAAACAATATTCTAAATTTACATTAATTTAGTTCTAAAATTATTGGTCGTTACCCAAAATTGCGTTGCCAAATTAATTAGAGGGTTGGGAGATAGTTAAAATTGATATATTTATCATGCTACAATTTGCTGTATAAAAGAGTGCAATCTAAGTATTATTTAACATTAATGAAAAATGGGTCGAAGGCCGAAGTGAATTTTTAATTTAACACAGAGGGCTGCACACAACCTCTGATGTTTCCAGTGCGCTTCCAAAACCCTTTCATGCACTGCATTTATTCCACTTTATGTTCAATTTCAATACTACTTAACAGATGAGGTGTTGGGCTATACAAAACAAAGGGGTTTTCTGGCCAAAGAGAAGTTGGTAACCCCAGACATAAGGATTTGAGTATATTTTCACGGGCTGCAACAAAATCACAGTCGAGTCGCGCTTTGCCTGTTTGTGGTTTACGAGTTAATGATTCATTTTGAGTACCTTTTTTAATGTACATGAATGTGGGTCATGGTAAACTGACTTGCCATCTAGTTCACGGATGAATACCAGCACACACTTTTTTTTAACATTATTATTATTTTATTACTATTAACATAATAATGCAGGTACAACACAATCCAGTAGCTTCAGACTCAACCTCAATACAATCGGTATCCAGGATAGTCTTATTCTAATCCATCCAGGATAGCCTTATACTATTCTAGGGTAGCATTTTAATTCAAATCCAGGGTAGCATTAGCATTTAATTATAGGGTAGTACTATCATTCACCTGGTTATACAATGGCCTAGTTCAGACTAGGTGGATAAACCCGGCTCAACTCACCGGGTTTATTCACCTGCCAGTCTGAACTAGGTGGCTTATCTCAAGCTGGGCTGTTCCTATAGTAACTAGGCTTGGCGTGCACCCGTGCCTAACTTTTCTAAGCCGGGCTTTAATCGTTGCGGGGGGTCTTGCATTGACTTCGGAACGAAATGACCAATCAGCATTCAATTACTTACGCTGTGAGCGAGCGTAGGTTTCGCGAGCAATGTTTTGAAACACTTTAACTGGTTACGGTTCATTATTAATTAAATTCTCACGTCTTTCTAATCCCGCTAATCAGAATGCCTGCCAAATTTAAGCCGGACTTAGCGTTGAGCCGGGCTTAACTCAAGTATGCGGTAGGTATTAAATCAAAGCATTGAATACCAAAAAGCGAGGCTGTAATGTAAGATTCTGTAAATCATTTTCAGACTTTGTTTGCTAATAATATATTTAAGAATATAATTTATAAAAAACTAATTCCAAAATTAGTGTGTACTTTATAGTTGACTTTTATGTAATATATCATATTCTAGATGATTTTTAAGATGGTACTATCAACACTCAATCATTCATGTTGACTGTCACCAAATCTTGACATTCTTGAAACAGATATTTCTCAGAAAATATCAGTTGATATGAAGTCAAATGAGAGGGGTAATATAATACTACATCCATGATAATGGTTTGGAAATTCCATCAAATAATGTATATATACCTGGCACTCAAATTTTAGCACAATAGTATTATAAGCATTCAACCCCAATATAAGGCCCAGTGCAGACTACCAATTTGTTTTTGACAAAAACAGTGACATAAAATAAACAGTTGTAAAAACTTCTACACTAAAAAATTATTATTATTTACTCACCAGAGCGCTTTCACCGAACAAACCGATGTCTTCAGTGGTTATAGTTACTGTGTTCATCTGGTGTTGAATCTCATCTGACACCATAGATGTTGATGACTTCAAAGATGAGATTACCCTCATCTATGACGTCAGATGAGATGAACACAGTGTACAATTTTTTACAACTATTTATTTTATTCAGAAACAATTATGTATGAATCTTCATAGTAATAACATGTGACATGCCTGAAGATGGTCAAGCGGTCACCATGGTCAAGCGGTCACCATGGTCAAGCGGTCACCATGGTCAAGCAGTCACCATGGTCAAGCGGTCACCATATTATAAGCACATCATGACTACAAATTAATGTTGATACAGATTAGGCAATATCTAGTATTAATTACATAACGTGGTGCAAACAAGTACATTTCAAATCACAATGATTCTGTAAAAATGATGCATCTTGTCACCCACCTTCAACCTCAATTAATTAACTAAATGCTTAAGAGGTGTAATCAAATCTTGACATTTTTGAAGTATTTCTATCATTGAAGGCCCGGGGTCTGCACAATCCACAATCCTACAATAATGAACCATGGAAATACTTCCCAATGTAGACTGCAATATATTATGGTTATGACTAGCATAAATGGTTAAATTAAATCGTTTATTTCACCAAGACAAATGAATGTCTAAGGGCAATCCGTCAGGCAGGCTAGCCATACACCACCATTGCTACACACTGTCAAATCACTTCATTTGGGGTGGGTTATTAAATTTTATGGGCTTTTGTTTGAAACGTATTTTCTCGTGTTAACATTCAGGAATTTGGTGCTAGAACTTTCTCTTAGCTTTGAGTATGACTGCAACCAGCCTTAGGAACAATTTCTAGGCCCAGGTCTGTGTGGACAGCAGCAGCTACTGCAGGCAGCCTACTATTGAACGGTACCCACGAATGCATCATGAAAATTTCTCTTAATATTATGCCCAAGCTTTACCATCGATATCTTTCATGCCTTTCAATGTCTAATATCCTAACATTTCGGACGTAATATTTAAACATTTGTTAGTGATTTGGTAAAAGAAATTTCAAGCTAAAAAATACATAAACAGCAACGATGGTGTCGTTTACAACAGACACACTCAACAAAAACAGTCGCCGAGCTGCCATCTTTACAGCGTATTAACTCGAGTGTTCAAAACAATAACAAAGTGAGTATCGCATAGAGATCATAGAGAGTGCAATAGGCGGATTCTAATCTGCCATTAGCATTTAAATCCAGGGCAGCATTAGCAATTCAATCTGGTGTAGTACAATACTAGCAATCTCATCTAGGTCAGCCTTAAGGCAGGGTAGCATCAGCATTCAAATCCAGGGCAGCATTAGCATTATAGTGCAAGGTATCAATCAAACAGAGTAGCGTTAAGGGTTTCTACCGAATGCTTAGAAACTCGTGACTTGAAACTGAAATATAAAAAAGAAAAAACTAGACTCCAGGGGAAAATTTGTGTACAATTAAAAAACCGGGGGAAAAAGGAGCGTAACCACATTTTTTTCATTCTCCTTTCCCCCACCCTTTAAATATTCAAACTGAAATATAAAAAAGAAAAGACTAGACTCCAGGGGAAAATTTGTGAACAATTAAAAAAAACGGGGGAAAAGGAGCGTAACCACATTTTTTTCATTCTCCTTTCCCCCACCCTTTAAATATTCAAAAGTCTGTATCTCATTAACCGCTTCCGAGTATTTTCGTCATATGTGCTTTTGTGTCTTAGAAAAAAAATCAGTTTTACAACATATCAAAAAATGTTTTCCTCCCTAGCCTGGCTTTAATGTGATTTGACCTTTGACATTCAAGCACTTGAAACTATAAAAACAAATACAGTAGAATAAATACATATACTGAAATAAGTGTGGCCAACAGGCCACGGATAAAACTCACTCTCTATTCTTTTGTACACGATAGTAGTGATCAACGTAATCTGACCGTCCTAGTAGCTCTACGAATTCCTCGTCGTGAGTTATAACAATAAGTTGAAAATTCTTCTGTCCCTCTCTGTTCTTAATAATGCTACATATTAAACAAAAAACACAAACAATGTTATATATCTTTAATATAATTACTTAAAATTAAATCGTATGAACAAATACATGGCAAAAAAAAAAGAAAATGGAATCAAAGTTAATCATTATTAATAAAAGCATTAAAATGTGTCATTTATCTAGAAAAACATACCTTAAAGTCAAAATTAGTAAAAATATTTTAAAATTTCAAGTACAATTATTATTATGATCATATTTTTTATAAATAAGATGAAAAATAAAGTTAATTATATAGTACTTTACATACATAATGTAATAATTATATTTTATATCTTTGATTGAAATAAACAAACTTTAGTTATATGGAATACTCTGTAGAATTAGTAGAATGGATACTCACTTCACGAGTGCACTGGCTAGGCTCTCAATATTAGCTCGGTCCAGGTTTGTGGTTGGTTCATCCAGGGCTAGGATGCCACAATTCAGGCAGAATGTCTCTGCAAGTGCCAATCGTATCACCAGGGAAGCTAGCACCTATGAAAAAAAAACCGTAAAGTTCTGTAAATGCTCAGGATATTTTCCACAAAAACAGGTGTTATTTTAAAGCTATTTTATTTGTTTTATTTATGATTAGTCTGTTCTGCTAGCTATGTTCTCCACAAGGTTCTCATTTAAAAGGTTATATGCTTTATAAATGAAATCTTGAAATTAAGCCTTAAGGAAAAATTCTAGTTTTGGGAAGACTTAAGCCATGGTCACTGGGATTAGAAAGCTTCACTACTACAGTAAATGCCATTTTGCAAAGCATTGCTACATAGCAGTGGATGTTGAACAGAATAGTTGTAGGTTTGTGTGTTATGTGTTATGAATGTGGTATCCTTGCAGTACCCGCTGCTACTTGGGAATCGTATGCACTCAGGTCCGTGGTCTAGTGCTTATGACACCAGGCTAGTTAGCTGGAAGTCGTCGCTCAGTGGCGTAATGCCTATGCGCTCTCATGCAGCGGTCCACAGGGCCCCCGATATTCTAGGGGCTCCGAAGGGGCCCTACCCATAGGTTCCTCGATCTAGCACCCTGACCAAAAAGGACTTTGTTGATAAATAACACCATAATGTGTCTCTGAAATCGACTGCAGGGTATATAACATATAACGATTAAAGAGAGTGGGCCTCGTCGGCCCGATGGGCCCTCCCCCTCTCGGCCCGGGACCCCACCAAAATTGTCAACAAAAATTTAAAATGGAGATAAAAATACATTTTCTTATCGCAGCCTCACAAGGGCAACAGCATAATGTGTGTCTGAAATCGACTGTCGGACATATCATATTATATCCAGTGGCGAAATAAAGAGTGGGTGGGGGGAGCTGCGGGCCCAGCGGCCCCACTAAATTTGTCAAAATATTTTTTAAATAATTTGTCAAAATATTAAAAAAAAAAAATTAAATTCACAATTTTATGTCTGTGAAGTGCCATTTCCGCCCATCTAAAGGTGCCATATTCATAAATTTTCTTACCTCAGCCCCCAACCATGGTGGTGGGTCTGAGGTGGTATAGACTCTCCAAATGTGAAAGTCCCTCCTTGGCCTCAATTTTCTGGATCCATATTATATCATTTATTCGTTGTTAAAACCATTTAGAATAACAATGCACATTTAAAATCCCACAATGGAATTGGTGACCAGGACACAAAAAGTGCCCCCCAGTTTAAGAAATACACGCCCCCGGACCCATTGTTATGCCACTGTCGTCGGTTTGATTTACACACAAATCACTTGCAAGATTTTTTTTCTCGCAAGTTTTTGGGAAATTACTGAGTGATCAGTACGATAAAACGTCAGGTAGGACAAAAAATATCGAATGTTCCAACTAAAAAACCAACATTAAATTGTGGTATGTGTTGGATAGAGCTCAGGAAATCAAGAAATATCAGTTAATGTTTAAGCATATTTAATGAAGTAGAGAGATGGGTGCTCAAAGTGCCTTGCTCAAGGCTATGAAGATTGCAAGATGTCTTGACCCCAAAACCCATAAAGCCTTGCCAATGCAGCACCGATAACATTATGTTTATAAACTTTTCTCTCAATTGACCTTTTGACCTGCACTACAGCGCCCTCTCATGTCCATACTGATGTCTCCTTTAACAAGGACCACTCTGTATTTGTATTGACGGCGTAAACTTGCAGCTGTACTATCGTCTTCATCAGCTCGAATCTCTATATGATCAATATCTAATGCGGAGGTAAAGAAAATTCAATTTTCTTTTACTTAATATATTTTTCTTAATATCTGGTGGTTTTTTTAAAAATAAATATTGGCAATAATCGTTTATGGCACGTTATTTAATTAATGAACACACATGGATGCGCAGGGGAGCAGAAAGGTGCACACCCCCGATTTTGAGATGGCGTCGCCATCACTAACATGTAGACCCAGGTATCTCATCCTTGGTAATCTGGGCTCCGGTAGCTCTCACCAAGGATAAGCCTGCGGCTCTACTGCCATGCGCTGATAAGTTGGCGACGACTTTTCAGGTTGAAAACCTAACCACAGAAATTAAATGTAAGTATGAACAATAGTTTATTCATCTCCACCATGGTAAGTATGTATTCATTGCTGTTAGCAGGTTTACGCTAAAAAAAAAAAAAAAAAAAAAAAATGGATTTATTTTTTGTGTTATTCAGAAACAGGGTGCAGGTATGCACTCATTGAAGTAACTAAACTTCACTTTTTTTTATGCACTTCTTTACAGCAACATGTTGTTATGATACAGGTCTTGAAATACATTATACAGAGTTAAGGTCTCTGCCTACCATTTCCTTTGTAGGTATCCCTCCACAGTTCTCGTATGATTGCATTAATTTCATTCATCTTCATACTATGGTAATTCATGATGGCCCTGTGACACATAAAAACAAATAATTAAATAGTAGCTACATTATATATTCGGACCAGTCAGTCTGGTTTCGCTTTGAGTACGGTATTCATATAACGCTCTTTATCCGAGTCTTACAGCACTTTAAAAACAGATAATCATGGAAAAAAGTGAGTTTTAAGAAGTGACTTAAATTTAGAAAAGAGTTGGAGCATAACGGATAATGTTGGGAATTTGTTTCCAGAGAATACCAGTAGAACACATAACATGTCCATAAATGGTGTGAAATATCCTTGCAGTGGGTAGCTGTCACTCAAATTTCTTTAAAGTGGATTAGTTGTCACAAACTAAATACCAATCTGATCCATCATGTAACATTCATCCCACCTACTGAAGGTGCAAAGAATGACTAACAACTTTACCCTATTAACTTTCTCCTCACCTGTTCAATGCCACATAATATTTGTCAAGGTCACTGCTTGCCAGCTCTGTTGTCTGAAAAAAAAAAAAACATTTATGAACTAAAACAAAATTAAGATAAAATATATAAATGTAAATATTCTGGGCTATATTATATAGGGTCTTTTTTTGTAACAAGTGACAAGTCTCTACACTGCTAGAATTGTTGTTTTTATTGCAATTTTTTTTAGTCGGAAAAAAAATGTTACCAATCAACCATTAGGTAAGCTCTGACCCGTGCATAACATTCATTCTCTATTAATTAATTTTAGTATGGAGTGGGCATGGTCAGGAATTGCTCAAAACCTTTTGAAAAGCTTATTTAATCGATTTTAAGGTCTACTAATATGCAGAAAATACATAATTTTTCCCCCCGACAAATCATGGTTTTTCTCCACAAGAGGAGGGGCCCAAGGATTCCAGCGGAATGGTTATTGTTCAATTCCAAATGGTTGTCATGCTTAATGTGTCTGGGCAAGACACATTTGTTTGTTTCATAAATTAGGTCACAAGACAAGTGACCCCATAAGGTCACCTAATTTGCATATTTAAAATGGAGTGAGGCAAATACATACTGAGGGGTGTATTTTGTCACTCACTAATCTAAAACTGAAATTTGAACCTAAAAATTTTAACTGATATACAAAAATACTTTTAGTTTAATCAGCATATCTGTGTGTTTCTCCTTTGCGTTTTTTAGCGAATCATTCTGGAGATCAGTACGGACACTCTTGATTCGTTCCTTAAAAATAGCAAGTCTTCCCTCAGCTTGATGTTTCTAGAAATGAAAAAATAAAACTTCTATTAATCATAATAATTAATGTATCTTCGTTCTTTACAGAAAATAAAATCAGTAGCAATGTTGAAAGTCTGTGAGATAAACTGGATAAACTGTCTGAACACCCCCTGAAAATAATAATAGAAAAGTATGTCCAGGTCAAAGGATACCAATAACTGCCACATACGTGAGCTGTCGTGACAAAAAGAGTACAAAAAATGAAAAACTAGTTATTGATATTTTTAGATAGAAGACTATATAACTTTATGTTGGTCTCTGAATCATGTTCCTATGTTGAGCAAAACTGGAGTTGGATCATGTTAAAGTTCAGATGTCTAAAAACATACTTAAGAGAAAATCACCTCTAAAGAATAACAACTGATAAATTTTGTGTTAGTTTTCCTAAAAAAGCTTTAAGAAAAACGTGCCTCAAAAACTCAACTCGGACCTTTTGCTACTATGAATTATACATATTAAACCAAATTTTTTTCCAAATATCAGATATATTTTCTTGAATATATCAAACTGACCTGGTGTACCACAAGACTCATTTGGCCACGACAGCTCACATATGCATCCTCATTTCTTTTTCAATTATACATAAAAGCTAACATTACATTAGCATATTCACTAAAATAAAAGCTAAATATCATAATTTTACTCTGCCCACTTTTATCCTACACATGTTGAGAATGTCAACATCCTGAAAGTTACTATCCTTTGAAAACATTCAAAATACAGTACATCCAAAAAAAAAACACCAAAATTCAGGGGAAACTCACCAAAAATTTAGTCAGAAACAGTCAGTCAGTCATGATTTAAATAGGAATAAAATATGGTCAAAATTCAACATAAAAAATATAAAATTTAAATTGCACTTATAAAATCTTTAATTTAGAATAAAAAGCAATAAGGGGTCAATAAGAGAACAACAAACATGTACATCAAGAGAAAACAAATCATAGAACAACCAAAATTATTGCAAAATGCCCATTTATACAAAAAAATTACATCCCAAATTGTTATTTAATAATATTAATTACAAAAAAATATCAATTAAGAAAAGATAATAATCATCGTTATAATAATTAGCCATTGAGATAAAAATTCAAATTGCAATTAAAAAATCATTTAGAAAAAGCCCCAAAAAAATACCAAAGCCCCTACACACAAGCTGTTTGACTGTACCATGCTCATGAGTATTATTTCAACTGTGAAATCATAAAACGAAGCGATTGCTATAACCGGTCTTCAGATGGTCTTAACGTTTTGCCAGCTTTGTTTTGATGTCACTACTGGTCAATGATTATATACCATTGCTATACCACAGTTAGCCATCTTAAAATTTTAAAGCCTACTCGGAGGAGGCTTAAAATGGTCTTAAATCATTTTCATCATGGCGTTACAGGTACTAGACCTAGACCTAGATTGTCAAAGACTATGAATCGAATGACATTATTCCGCAAGTTTCTCAGCGTCTGTAAAAACTGTTTATTTACGTATTTTGATAAATATGCATGTTTTGAGCAAGCACAACAATTATCAATTTTATGTTTACCAGGGAGTGCTTGTTTGCGTTTTCAATACTCAAAGCGGTCTAAGCAAAGACCCTTTTATAGTAATGGTCTTTCAGAGTGACTTTATTAAGACCGTCTACGTGATAAAGCCGGCCTTATTCAAGGCTACCCATTAAAGACCGTTTTATAGCAATCCGCCCCTGATGTGATCTGTCCGTCAAATTTGTACCTCTTTGATAAGATCATCGATTTCATTATTCAGCTTCAAACGTTCACGTTCCAACTCAGTGTGGTGGTGGCCGCCAAGTTCTTTGTGCAATATTGCTAACTTCCTCTCAACGGCCTCAAGCTCAGCTTGCTTCTGCCGCAGCAGAAGATTGTCTTGCATAGTACGTTCATTCACCTGTAAATACATTTATAGTTGATTTTACTTTCACTTATCATATTTCATTTTTATCTAAAACCGAGCCACTATGAAAATTACAGGATGCAGAGAAAATATAATTCCATGATTTATATAATATAGGTTAATGGGAGATATATACGCTTACGGTTCTGTTGGTGGATCAAGTCTTCCCGGATAAGGACTGTAACCCGTAGGGTCAGTGTACACAATCAGGCTTGTGTGCACTTTAAGGGAACACAGTATATCTTTTGAGAGTAGGGGGGTTACCCTGGTGCATTGGTCCATTCAACCCCTTCTTGTGGATAGACAAGAGCAGCTGGTACCGGTTTAGTTTGTAGCTGAAACACGAAGGGACCCTTAGGGGCGATGAAACTGAACAAACTACCACAGTGTAGTGCGTGATGAGTACCAGTCCTATACATATCATTAAGTCACTGTTTGTGTTATTGGCTAATTGACATTTTTAGGATTCTTTGATTAATTAAATAAAAACCAATGATATAATTCACGACTCTGCACCATTTACCTGTTGCTTAGCAACATCCTCCTTTAACTTATCAATTATTTTCTGCAACTCCACCACTTCTTCTCCACGATGAGATATTTTGTCTTCAATGCCACTGATTTCGTCCATTCCTTCTTTTATTTTTTCATCCTTGCGATCTTCATAGTACCTAAGAAAGTATAATACAAATTACAGATAACAATAATAAATATTTTAAAATAGATAATGATAACTTTAATAATAGTAAATATTATGTTGTATTTTCCCCAACCTGATAGTAGAAGTTTATATCTCTGTCGGTTGAGTGTTAAAAAAACCAAAAATTAATTAAAAACATGAATTACGTAGTAACAAAACAATACCATAATAATAATACTAATATTAAAGTATAATAAACAAAAGTAATTACAGAAATAATAACTTTGGCAGAGATGCAGAGGTTTAAAGGAGAATAGTGTTGGGGAAAGGGTCAGTGTGTTTCTAACTACTTTAATAGATTTTCATCTTACCGTCTTACATCGTTGTTTAACACCCTAATATCCTTTTGTTTTTGATTAATTTTTTCAATCTGAAATTAAATAAAGATGTTAAGCCAAAAAAAAATACTGATAAAAATGTAATTATCTGGCAAATAGAGACATATAGAGAAGGACAATATCCCAGGCACCCTCTAAAAGTTTAATGTACTTATCTCTATTCGAAGATTTAATGTACTTACCTCTATTCGAAGATTTTCAAGTTCTCTTTCCTTGCGTGCAGTTAGCTCATTCTTGCCCTCTATTAATTCGGATAATTTTCTCTACAAAATATATTGAAGGTCATAGTAAACCTATACCAAAAAATTTACAATTTACTAATATTTAAAACAACACAAATAAAATGGAATGGATAGAATTGCAATACAGCTTTTACTACTAAGTGATAAGCTGTATGTATGTTTGCATGTTCTACGCAAACGAAACCAGTGTGCACACAGCAGTGTTGCTAGAAATTTGCCGACAAGGGGTCCAACATGGACACCGATGGTGAGATCTAAACCAAGGACCTAAATTTTCTTAAAAATCGCTTGCAGGTTTCACAAGGAGCCTTTTTACGGCTTATTATGGTCCACAATGTGCCTTTAAACCACAATATTGGGGATTGGCAATCAAGATAACGTTATTTGGATAGGCAAATTATAATTTTTTAAGTTTCTGATCCGACGACCTCGTCGTGCGCCAAATGACAGGGGGTCAAGGCCTGTCAAGAGGGGGGAATGGCCCCTTCCCAAGCTAGCACCACCAATGTATGCACATAAATAGAGTATAAGAATAATATCAATTTTTACTAAAGATGAATAAATTACCTCAATTGGCATCAACTGTTCCCTGGCATCCTGAAAAAAAAATTCATGAAAATCTGTACAATACATTTGAATATTTTTTTTATTGTTCAAGTAAATTAAAAGAAACAATAATGAAGCTATTTTATATTTAACATCAAAGCTTAGAGGGTGACAACTGCAAAAATGATTGTCAAAATCTCATGAAAACACTTAAATAAAATAATACTGTATATATAATTTTTAATAAATACTTAAATTCATGGTGTTAAATATAATAAAACTGACTTCTTTATTAAAAAAACATCAAATAATTTATAAAAATTTAACAGATCAAAGCAATTCACTTTACTTCATTAAACTAATTACCAACCAATTCACGTATTAAAAAAACCTTTTTTCTTGGTCTAATTTTCATTTGAAAACTAAAAACTTATTACTTAAATACACAAATTAAGCAAGTAAATTATATCAAATTTTATGTTTGAAGTTTGGTCAATATTGTAGTGTTTAATACAGCAAGAGGGAGCCCTTACCTTTATTTCTCGTGCATACTGCTGATTGGTTGATGTCAGTTCTACTTGTTGATTCTCAAGCTGTACCCTCTGTTGCAGCTCACCCTCAAGGCGGAGTTTTTCACTGGTGATGCTGTTGATGTTAACTTTCAGAACTTGCAAGTTTTCGCTATGCTCCATAACTTGTCTGCGCTTTGATTCCACCATTTTATTCACACCATCTCTAAAAATTAAAAAAAAAAAATAGATAGGAAAATATATATTTGGTAATTCATCTAACAGTAATTAGAGAGACAAGAAACTGCAAAAATCAATCATGTTAAATAAAATACAAATAAGATGTAACTCACAATTGAATTTCCAAGTCTCTTCGTTCAGAATTCACCAATTGGAAAGTTCTACTTGTATCTGAAGGTCAAAGTTTAAAAACAAACAAACAAATTTTCCAATTAGAACATTATACTTTACCATTTTCGAGGTAAATTATGGGAAGGAAGTTATTTTTGAGACAGAATGTATTTTTAAAAAACCCAATGACAAATAGGTGCTTGACCAAATGACTGGTTTGAACTACAGACTGCTATCGTGGCCCCTGCTGCCAGTCCACTCACTGTATTTAAGTGGAGCCCCCTAAAAAAAAAAATTTGTGCTTCCCCTCCCCATTCGCAAGTAGGTAAAACTCACTTCACCTTATTTTGCGAGCTAGTGGCTCTGCTTAATCATCGACACCCCCACCCTCACTTCACATTCTCACACCATCAGGCCCGCCCCACCATTTCCAAGTCTCCTAGGTACGCCACTGCTGATAACACAATACTGTCATTATCGCTAAGGTTTCAAATATTTTGTATAGCAGATGTCTGTCTCTTTACCTGCTCCAGCCAGTTGAGTGGTCAGTACTGCAAGTTTTCTCTCAAGCACAGATAACTCTTTCTGACATTCCTCCAATCGTATGATATATGGCCGCACTTCATTGGCCATTGATTCTTCCAATTGCAGAGCATTCATTCGGTTATCTTCCTAACATGGAAAAATATAACTGGTGAGAATTTAAAAAGGCTTATGAGTTCTTCTGAATCAATGGCCAACCATCTTTTGTTAATAAGTAGCTACTGTATTTGTATTTACTATAATTATATTTTGTAATACACATAGAGGTCATGAAAATACTATATGCACCTTATAAGTCCACCATTGTTATTACAAAAGAAGTGAAGCATGCGATAAAAATGAAAATACAAGACTGGTCTCACCTGTTGAATTGTGCTGCGTAGTTTACTGATCTCCTCACTGATTGAGGCAACGTTTGCCTTCAAGTCTGGAATCTCGGATGACAGTTTCTTCATCTGAATTCAAATAATATGGTTTAAAAAAAATTAATTATCCGGTCAAATCAAATGCTCTTATTTAATACAAAAAAGCAGAATCACTTTACATCTAGAATCTGAAAGTTTTGTTAGTGCTCCTGGTATTACTGTGTTCGATTTTTTTGACAGATAACTTACATTTTCTTTTAGAGGTTTCATCTGTACGAGTTTGTTGCGTTTTGACATGTTCTGCGCAATTAAGTTCTCCTTTTCAACCATCTTCTGAGGGGCCAATCGCAGTTTACTTTCAAGCTGAAATTGAAGAACCCAACATTAATTATACTTATGCATCACAGCAACACAAAGTACACTTATAATAATACATAAATTGGCAGGAAAGTTACAGGGAGCCCTCTATGAGTTTAGGTGGTAAACATTCCACATTTCAAAGGAAGAAAAAACATCACAACTAGAATATGGCTTTGTAGTTATTTTTCACTAAATAAGGTTTTACCAATGAAGTAAAATAATTCCTACACCCTTATTTTCTAATACGTTCAACTAATATGTTGATGGCTACAGTTACTTTTTCTTAACCAATCCATAAAGGACACTACGTAAACAAAACAATGAAAACATTAAACAATCTACAGATCTTTCCAAACTGTGTGCTGCATGATTGGATAGTTTATTACCAACAAATTTAATTTATAACACTAAAGCCTTAAGTGGCGCATAAATTAAAATGCATTTTGTAAAAATGCACAAGACAATGTTTTCACTGCTGTTGGGAGTCAAGTGGACAGATCGAAAAAATGATGATGGAGAAAAAAAAAAAAAACTGGCAGGATCACAGTACCTCTTGGACCAATTCTTCAACCTCGTCTTCAGCATCAAATCCACGATGACATAATGGGCACTGAGCCTCAGCACGCCTCAACGATTTTATGTAACGTTCAAATAAGTGCTTGCTACCAGATAGTGCGCCCTTCTCGCTACAAGAACAAACCAAGACGATAAACACATTTTATGAGGTATTTCCACTGCAATATCAGTTGTTTTATTAGAATACTTTAATTACCATTATCAAACACCATCATCAACAATGCCATCATTATCTCCATGATTGACATGTAGCCAAGCACCGCCATACTCGTCCTCATTGTATCTTTACACCCATTACGCCATCACCATCAAAATCTATACCATCTCCAATCATCACCATCACTATCATCTTCAATACTGCAGTATCATCATCATTATCTCTATTGTCATTGCCATCATCAATATCACTGCCATCATTAACCTAATGTGATGGATCGTAACGTTTTCCACTATTCCTTTTTTAATTGTTATTGGTGGCGCATCGCATTGCTTTTGTTTCATTGCTACTGCTTTTGTTTGATTGCTATTCGCGTGTGCATTTGCATACTAGGTGAAGTTTATAATGCAATGGCTGCGTGAGCGTTGGATCGGCAGCAGGCTTTTGGTTTACGTCGGAATAAGACGTGTTGTTATATTTTTGTTGAGACGAATCTTTTCCGATACAGTGAGTCTATATATTTCTAAATTGTTGTTTACGATTATAATATACAATAATATGATTGATTATAATGATTGTTACTAGCTAAATTGATATATGTATATTGTGCTGTATTTGGTAACAACGGATGAAACTACTTTTGAAGAATTTCACCTAATTGGTATTCTGGTCTTGTTTAGTATAAGAATACAGATGAAATCTACTATTAAAAATCTGTATTATGTATGTGGTAATCAATGACTTAATTAATCTTTATTTTAATACGTCTAGTTTAATTCTGTGATGGCGTACCGTATTAAATCGTAGAGTGTGTGCTCTGCCACGTAGTTAGTTCTGCGAATTTGGTGTTATTGATCTAGGTATTGAGCTCCTTACTCTAATAAGTATTATATATGTTTATTCCATGCATACCCTAATGTAATACAGTAGTGTAATGACTTTTAAGTGAAAATGTTATAGCGAGTTTAATTAAAAGGTGATTGCTTGTGTTAAATTATTGAATCAGTTAATTGTTGCAATTGTTATCTACTATGATAATGATATCTTAATTATATAAATTTATTACTATGCTATCATTATGTTACAGGGTTTTTTATAGACGGTGATGAACTGGCTTACTGTGTAGATCAGAATAAAGTTACTTTGTAGATCGGAATAAAGTTACAGTGATTGCAGTTTGTCTCAAATATATTTTGTTCTGCATGGGTATTTGGTTTCATCCACCAAACCTCAGTGGTCAACGCTGGACTAAATCAATACTGAGGCTTCCCGAACCACGACACTAACTATCATTGCAGTATCATCACCATCATTCTCACTATCTTACCATTATTATTATCATCATCAACATCACCAACATCACTGTCGTAACCACAATCATCATGCTCAAAACTGACAACACCACCAACATTGCCATTATGTCCACCATTATCATCATCATCATCATTACCACCTTCTTCCTGAACTTCTTCCTGAATTTTCTTTGACAAAAAAACTGTTGTATGTGATGTCATCATGTGATGTCATCACCATATTTAGGCATGTCATCACCATATTTAGGTATGTCATCACCATATTTAGGCATTGACATGACAACGGACATGGTGATAGATGAATATAAGGATAGATGGACGAATAAACAGATGGAAGGATGAATAAAGGGAAAGATACATTTCGAAAACTGTAAAACATGATCGAATAAAGATGGATGGATGCATGGATGATGAATAGATCGTTATATACAAGGATAGATGCTGTCTCTTATACACATCTAGATGTGTATAAGAGACAGGGTTACTGATAGTCGTCTGCAGTTCAACAAGACTGCTCTCAACATCCTGGCTGCCACACTCCTGGAACAGTCTCTCTTCATAATTGCGCAATTCATCCTCTTTCTTCTTCATTTGGTCCCTATGAATTGTAGGAAATGCAAATTCCTTTATTGGAATCTCTAAACCCTATAAAACTAAACCATTAACAATAATTCTGCAGACTTCTATAGCGCTAACCTTCAGTGCTCATGGCACTTTTGCCACCTAGGCTTGAAAATGAACAGAGAGAAAAAGTAACAGAAAACAAGGTTTGAAACTTAAGTAGACAGGGTTGTCATGTCCGAAGTCAGTGAACAGTCAATCATGACAAAATTTCTGCTTTGGAAGAGGCAGTTCAATAGTGACCGGATGTATTATTCGAAGAGATGAGACTTTAAACTAGATATAAATGATGTTGGGCTTATCGATTTCCTGATGGGTAAAAGTAACTTGTTCTAGATATTGGATGCAGTTTTTTTGCAGTTTACAACTTTTCTTCAAAGAAAAAACCAATTTCTATCTATTACATCATATTTGACTTACATAATCATCGCTCTCCTCGTTTCTTTGCTCGATATCTCTGACTTCGCTGTCTGTAATTTTCTTTGGCACTGTTTCAACTCGGTATTCTTCTTCCTGGAGAACAACAGAACAAAATGCACTAATAAGTTTGTGGGAACGTTTCATACAGTCTCTAGCATCCAGTAGTAATGGATGCACAAGTATAACAACAACTTGTCAGATAGTTTAAAGCTTCAATGATGCAGCAAAGTTTTTTTTTCTATTTTATTTCTTTAGGTACATGGACATCACTTTCCTATTAGATAGGTGGCAACCCCTCCACAAGGCAAACAAACACACGTTGCTCTACATAAACTACGTCTCTCATAACGAGGCTTACAGGGAGTTGTTTTATAGTAAGAACAAATCCTGGAATATTTACAGGACTTGAACCCAGGACCCTGGAATGGGAAGACAAGCATATTAAACACTAAGCTATTCAACTCCACTTTTTATGAGTTGTGCTTTAGAGGTTATGATTGATACACTATCATACATTTTGATAGGTAATAGTCAAACAATCCACTCTTCTTTGCTTGTTTAAACATATGTCTAATCTAATCTTGCATTGTTTGTCATGGAGTGGATAGCCATCGAAAACGAAAAGAGGATGTATGTGTTGATTAAACATGAATATACAGTATTCAGGGAAAGGTTGTTCTACGAACATTACTGAAGGGTGTTCAAATTAAGGAACAATTACAAAAGTTGGTTTAGTATTCATGAAATATGAGTGAAAATCCATGAAGCAGTAAGTTATGAGAAACTTCACTGATAAATGAGAAAAAATGGTTTATATTCTTACATGGAGAATTCCTGAAGCTGAGCTTTAGCATTAGATGATGGGAAATGACCAAGCAGCTGCTGTACTTCCTCGTCAATGCGATTACGGCTGGAAGAAAACAACAATAAAAATCTATCAGTTAATGTTAAGTCAAATCCAAAATCTCACTGAAAAACTGTTTGACATAGATGAAATTTGATTTTTACAGATGGTTAATTAATGGGAACACAATTGGCATGTAAAATAAGATTGACTTAGAAATTGTTTGTGTTTAGGCAAAGTCTACTTTAAGCAAGTTTAATTGTAATGCTCATACCCATTTTAAAGAAACATTTTTTTTTCTCCCTTTCGTTTTTTATTCCAAAAAAACTAAAATTTCACTAAAGAATGTAACTATAATAGTTGCTTGAGAGTAAAAAAAAGATGAAATTGTGTTACCCTATAAAACTCTCATAAAAACATAAATATTATAGAAATTGAAACAAAGAGTACCAACTGATATCAGAAGCATCAACATCACTATACCCTTTGCTAATTCATAATATTAATACTAAAAGCATTTACTTACATCTTTTTAATTTCAGATTCCTTTTCATTTTTATTCTTCAGCAACATCTCATGTTGTGTTCTAATGTTTGACTGCTGGGTCAGAGTTGAGATTTCTTGACTAAAAGAAAAACAAGATCATTTTGTGTTTTGCAGTATTACTGTAGGTGAGGAAGACATGATCCTTTCTACAGTCAGTGCAACAGAGCTTATGGCTAACCTAATCTTACACTTAAAGAATACTCTAAGGTTTTTAGTCTCATCTGTATCTGTCAGCTACTGCGCAACCGCCGTCAACTAGGCTATCACATGCAGGTAACATGCTATCACGTGCATCACGTGAAAAGGCTATCACGTGCATCAGTATCGCTCTCAATATTTTGAAGTGTAAACATAGTATCATGTACGTCTAAAATGCAAACTCCTGTTAAATATGCAGGTACCCACTGTTAGGCACTGTTCAACCATAGGCACCAGTACATGTTCGCTCGAGTAGTGCTATAATACCAGGCTAATAACACTGGTGGTCGTCAGTTTGACTCTCACCCAAATAATTTGTGATTCCTCTCACTCAAGTATTTTCAGATAAGATAGTATAATAGATACTCCAAGCATTGAAATGCACGCCATCATGATTAAATTGAACAATCCCGACACGATGGCATGCATTTTGATACTTGGAGTATGTATTATACTATCTTATCTGAGATTAATTAGTGGGCCTTTCAAGTATTTTCAAACAAGTATTTTTTTTTTTTTTGTCTTTCGTGGGGTTCTCCCTACTCTAATGTTTCTTCTTCTACATACATTTTTAAAAAACAGTTGTTAAAAAGTATATATGTAAAAAGTTAAATGCTGAAAATTACCAAGAGAAAAAAAAATTGTATTAAAAATATACAGTAGTAGTAAATTGCTAAAGTGCCATAATTTTACACACAATAAAATACTTTTTAAAACAAAGTTATGAATCAATGCTCATATTAAACACAACATATGTATAAAAAAAGTAAAAATTCAAATTAAAATTACCAAATGATTTAAATGTAATATGTATTACAAATGTATTATTTACATTCAACCAGTATCCTATTTTTTTTAATAACTCTTTTTAAATGTAAAAATTTTTTTTTTCAAACTGTATTTGAACATCTTTAAATTTTAACCAATTTTGATAGTTTTAACAACGTACGAGCAACAAATTTCCGTAGAAGGATACAATAAAGTGAGTCTGAGTCTGATATATAAAAATCAGAAGCTCAAGGCTATAAATATGGCTTGGAAATAAAACACTCTTGGATTGGATTAGATTTATTCGGTGTAAACACCAAAGATAGCCTACGAAAGTCTAGAAGAAGACTTATTTCCAGTGGGCTCCTTCTGGTGGTGATTGGGCAGTACACCGGGAGACAATCCCCTACTCTTTTGCGAAGAGTGTACTGCGTTCTTTAACGTACACATGGGCCATAATGCACACGGGACCAACGGCTTAAACGTCTCATCCGAAAGACGGTGCACTATTGTAACTTGTATTTCAGTCCTCTAGCTGAAACACAAGGAGAGGCAGCGATGGGAATTGAACAGGGGACGTGGAGATCTCCACGGTTCAGCGCACACACAGTGACTACCACCAGATTAGCCGGCTGAGCTAAGCTGCGCTCTCTCTCTTGGCTAATACATATTTCAACCATGCAGGGATGATTCTAAATTCCATAAGGCACTATTTAAGTTGATTACGATTAAGATTACTAATGATGTCCGTGAGTGAGGTGGTTTCAGCCTAGCTTTAAGCATGCTATGACCTCTTGCTTTGATTTGGTATTGAGTTACTCACTTCAGGTTACTCATTTTGCGATCCTTTTCCTGTTTCTCTTTCTCCAGGTCGCGGATTTCAACTCGTAGCTGCTCTAAGTTCAAACTCTCTTCTGCAGATTTCAGTGCTTGCTCCTAAATACAAAACAAAGGTGTTGAAATACTATCACAGAAAGAGTGCTACAAAAACCTTTAGTAATACTAAACTTAACACCCTCTCTACAACTCTGCACAAATTTCCAGTCTCAAACAGGCCCTGTTTCATTCCTGGTATGGAAGACCTCTAAATTTTAAAACAAGTATAAACACACACAGACCCAAGGCTGGCTCAAATGTAATCATGAAAAAAATTACAGTGAATGATCAGTTTGCTGGAACGGTACATAGTACTTATATTTTTATGAAAATTACTATCACAAACTAACGACTATAAATGTGAATGGCAAGTACTGAGCCCAACACAGATGGTGCCAGAGACCTTGTTAGTGTAAATGGGGCTTTAGATCATAACAAATATTATTTCTATTCCGACATTGCTGTATGCAGCTTCTAAAGAAATTTTATAAGAAGCACATAATAAAAAATATACTTCAAAAGTATTAACCTTACCGCTTGTTTTAAATCCGCCTCCAAATCAGATAGCTGATGCATATTAGCATTCATGTTTCGCAATTGCGACTTGATATTCTGAAGATCCACCTGGTTTGCTTTCTGCAAATTATAAGACATTAAAAAAAAAATTGAAGTAACACAAATGTAGAATTCTTCAGATAAACGTTGATGAAGACGAAATTTAGCAGAAAGCATATTAACATATGGGAATGGTTTTCAAAGTGGTTGTGATTCGAGATCTCAGCGAAGAAGTCGGGGCCTTGCAACTTTGCTGGTACTTGTGACCTTGGGCAAGGCGCATTATATATGTTTGCCTCTCTCCACCCAGTAGTATAAATGAATACCACGTTGTGGCATTAAATGTGAACAGGTTTGTGCACATTAACCCATTGAAGTCCCAAGTGATCTACCCTAGGTCACTGGGCCAATTAAGGGGTTTTTAATAGGGAAAAAACGTATAATACATTTTTAACTGTAACTACAAATGTTGGTTTGATTGTTGGGTAATATTTTTTGTCTTCCAAAAAATAGTAAACTTGTTTGACCTTTTGACTTAGATCAAAGGTCATGTGCCCGAAAATTGCAATTTAATGGCATAAAAAGGGTATTTTTTACCCATAAACGTCACTAAACAAAATCCTATGCTCATGAATGTTACATATTATGTGGAATATGTTTTCTACAGAAATAAAATGTGTTTAGTCAAATAAAATTATGTTTTCATATTTATTATTAATTTTTTATGCCTAAGGTCACAAATATCATTCAGGCCTCAATTTTGGGAAATGACCTCTATCGCATGCCCCCTCCCCCATAGAGGGCAAGTAAGCCTAGAACTAGGCCTACATAGGCCTATTTCTAACTAGGGTGGACTACTACCTAGGATATGTTTCACTAAAACTAGTAAATTGATGAAATAATATAATAATAAAGAAGATGGGGATAGGGATATTGAAATATGAGAAGGGGGGGGGGTCTATGTACATGACTAAACCCAACATAAACGTTTTTGGACCTAGGCCTAGCAATACTGGTTGCACTGCCAGAAGTTTCTAGTAAATATCTTCAGAATTGTATCCAGATGTAATCAATATTTATTTAATCGATATTCTCATCCAGATGCTCGTCTATTCAAGCACATCACTCACTGACAGAAAAAAATTGCTGATTTTTCGTCCATACGATCTCTAAGCCACGTCTAGTTACTATGACGTTAGGGAAATCCCCCTGAAAGAGTCAGTAACGAGGGCAGCATTACTAAAACAAGGAGAGAAATCATCCCTTACCCTATACGAGCCTAGCATCCTGGGACAGGAAATTAGTCCGTATGGGATACGGGTCACGACTTCAAAAGTAAAATTGCAGTATTAAGACAAGTAATACTCCCCAAATAATGGAAAAGGCCTCACTTTGTACCGCATTGCCAATATTGATTAATAATCAGCGATAATAATTACTAGGCGAAAATGCTATACTAATTACATCATCATTATTTTGTCATACCATCATTTGTGTTTTCATATTGTCAGTATTCTTGAGCGTTGTACGTGTCGCCTTCATGTCATCGATCTCCATCTGACGTGCTGCTTCCTCATCTTCAAAAAGCTCCTAAAAACATTTTCAATAATTTCATTATTCAATTCATGAAAATATGACAAAATATTCACATATCAAATAAAAGTCTACTGAAAATTTTCAGTCAATGAACTCAGTATTAAGTAAGTACACATTAAAAATTGATCAACAATCCCTTACCTTTTGTTGTTGTCTTTCGGTCTCACGGTTACTGATGACAGAGGACAGTTCTGTTTGAAATCGGTTCACATCACTTGCTTCAAAGTTTGATTGGCTGAAACCTATTTAAAACATGCAACAAGAATCAACTCTCAACAGGTAGAACTATACCATTCTCTTAGCAACAGTAATTACCCATAGCAACAACAAAGCATAATCAACCATAGCAAAAATGTAAACCATGGCAACAGAAACTATCCACAGCAAACACAATCATAATAATATAGTTCAGTCAACCGATGGTTGGAAACAATACACTGTAGACATACAGACCAATGGCGGCGCCAGCGGGGTAGCAGGGGGGCTTAAGCCCCCCACCGGACAGGTTAAGGCCCCCACCAACGCTGGACAGAGCTTGTCGGGCAGTCAGACCATAAAACATATAAAAATAGGCCCACACCAAGCCAATACATGTCTGTCACAGTCTGAGAGTACCATTTTCGGCCGGTTGATATTCTTTAAAAAAATCTCATTTGGGAGGGGTACCCCTCTCAACCCCTTCCTCCAACTCGAGCCTACGAGCTCAAGTCCCCCCTGTCCGACAACTTAACCCCCCCAGAAAATATATCCTAGAGCCGCCACTGATACAGGCATCCACAGGAATAAATTAAAAGAAATTTACTAACTGAACAATCGTTTATTGCAGTGTTTATGACAATTGTAAAATAAAATCTTACCAGTCATATTAAGGTTTGATAAAACACTCCGGATTCGTTGGTTTCTATTTTCAACCTTTGCTTTGTGGTTCTAGTTGGGACAATCATAAATCAATTAAATAACTAGTCAATTATTTTCAATAATATATATAATTTTAAAACAAAATAAATTATTCATTTTCTGTAATTTTATGCAAGATTAAATATACTGTCCTAATAAAAATAGAAATAAAAATGACTGTACTGAAATGAATGTAGTAAATTCCTAAATTGTGTACAATTTTCAAATTTATATAACACTATATAGCTACATTTGATTTATTACCTCTGCCTCCTGTTCCAACTTGCCCTGGGCAACCACCAGACGTAATTTGGTAGCCTTAAGATT